TCCCCAAGGCTTTTTTAACTAGTATTTTTAAATTAATCCATTTATATGTATGTGTATTTGCTTGCACAAACTTATGTGCACCACATGTGTGCAGTGCCCCAGAAAGCCAGAAGAGGGCCTCAGACTCCCTCAAGTTAAAGTTACAGGTGGTTGTGAGCCACTGTGTGGGTGCAGGGTCCTCTGAAGGAGCAGCAAGGACCTTAACCTCTGAGCCATCCCTCCCGCCCCTAGTGGGTGTCTTGTTCTGTTTTTTGAGTTGAGTTCTTACTGTGTAGCCCACGCTGGCCTCTGAGGGCAGATCTTCCTGCCCCAGGCTCTCAGTGCTGAAGCCGTGGCGTCTGCCTCAGCCAGCTGTAGCTTCAGGTTCCTTCTCTTTTGTTCTTCCTCACCCCAGATTCCTGCTTACTCCCCCGACAAGAGTCTTTGCCTATCTGCTGGTTTTCCTCCCAATCCCTGTCCACGCCCTTACTCATCATGGCATTTTTCCTAAACAAAGAGACTTCCTTCCCTCAAAGGAACTCTGGCCTCAGCTGATAAAATAGTAACTAATCTCTCCCATCTGCGACAACGTTGCCAAGTTGTAATGGTTGTGATTGCTCTTTGGCCTCTGACTTTCCTGGGACTTCTGGCCAATGGTGAGAATGACACTCCTGTGGCTTTGTTCATCAGCCACCATCTCAGAGGAGCTCTTGCGGTTGAGGAGAAGGCTGGGCAGCTCCAGCTAACACATTTTTGTTTTATTATTGGTTTTTTAGTTTCCTGGCCGGACTCAAATTCATGGTACTACCCCTGCCTTGGCCTCCCCAATGCTGGGATTACAGGACCCATCCCTGTTGTTGTTTGTTTGTGTGTTTGTTTCGTTGTCTGTCCTTCCTTCTCTTCCCTCCCTCCCTCCCTTCCTCCCTTTCTTTTGTTGTTTTTGAGATAGGGTCTCAAGTAACCCAAGCAGGCCTCAAACTCAGTATGTAGCTGAGGCTGACCTTGAACTCCTAATCTTCCTGCCGCTGCCCCCCAAGTGCTGGGGTCACAAGCCTGAACCACCATACCTAGTTATGCAACACTGTAGCCCATTTTATGAAGGAAGAGCTAGAACCTAAACCCATCCGGTTGTTTCTCTGGGAGAGTTTTCAGGAAAATGGCAAATATACTTTGCTAGTCAAGCCAGTGCTTTTGAGGGTAAACTTGCCGTCTGTCCCTGTGAGGAAGGTCCGAGGAGACGGGCTGTTTGGTAGACAGGTGTCACAGAAGTGCACAAGGGACAGACAGAGCTGCCAGCGGAGCCTGTCTCTTTTTGTCACAGAGCTTGGAATGTCATCTCCCTAGGATAACCATCTCGGCCTGTTCGGGAGGGATGGCTTGTGGTGGGATATTTGTGCAATGTGTGAAGACGTGTTGCAGCGAGCGGTGTAATAAAAAGCTGAAGAGCCAACAGTTAGGCAGGAGAGATAGGTGGGACTTCCGGGCAGAGAGAGATCTCTGGGAAGAAGAAAGGCAGAGTTGCCAGCCAGGAGTGGAGGAAGCAGAATGGGCAGTATAAAGGTAACCCAGCCACGTAAAAGAACGTAGATTAAAAGATACAGGTTAGTTTAAGTTATAAGAACTAGTTAGGAACAAGCCTAAGCTAAGGCCGAGCTTTCATAATTAATAAGTCTCTGTGTTGTTATTTGTGAGCTGGCGGCCCAAAGAAAAATCGGACTAAAATGGCTGGGGATGGACCTTGTATACCACGGTCCTGGAGCCAGGGCTGCTGGCTCCCGAGACGTCCCCTCAGCCACGACTTCCTTCTCTACCAGCTTCGTTCACACCTGAGCCTCTTCAAGGCTTAGTTCCTATCAGCGACTATTCCCTCGGGAGCCATCCCTGATGGCCAGGACGGTGGCATTCTTCTGGGAACCTTGGTGACATCTCCTCTCTGCTTGGCGCTACGGGCCTCTCCTAGGCAAGAGGCTACCAAACCCCGCTGATTGTGAAATGTATCTTCTCTTACCTCCCACCTCTATCTGAAGACACAAACTATAAAAAGTGTTCTGACCTCATTTGCTAACGTGGACCCGCTGAAACCTCCCAGGGTTGGACGGAAAGATGGGTCTGCGGGTGAAAGTGCTTGAAGGGTGGCGAGCCTGATGCTCAAGTTTGGATCCAGGGAAGTCCTGTACAAGTCGGTGACAGTGGCAAGTGTCTATAATCCCTGCATGACTCTGGCCAGGTTGGGCCTAAACAGGAGACTCCCAGCAGATTTCTAGACAGCTAGCCTGGAGTAAAACTACTGAAGATTCTCCAGGCCTGAAGAATAACTTCTCAGCAGCTTGCCACACTTCCCTTGTCTTCAGCCATTCCAGGCTCACTTTGTGCCAGCTGCTGGCCCTCCCAGTGACGCTGGACATACGTTTCTCCAAGACCTTTCTTTCTCTTTGGGGGATACCTTTCCTTTGCCCTCTGCAGTGTGACTGCTCCAGTACATACTTATTGAACCACATGTACTTCCGGCCCCACATACCTGTATCTCTTGCTAAAGCAGTGATGGGTCTCAGTGTCTTCTGTTCCCCACTTGGGACAGGATCTCACATCCCAGGTTGGTCTCAGACCCACTCAGTAGCTGAGGGTGACCTTCACCTGTTGATCTGCACGTGCCTGCCACACCAAGCCTGGCTTTTCAGTCTGTTCTACCTCACTCGTACCTATCTCAGAACGGTTGTCTAGCAGATGTTGATTGAAAATCAGCAAAAGAACATTGTTCTCTAGTTTTGTATTATCATTTGCTTCAGTTAGGGTCTCTATTGCTGTAAAGAGACACCATGACCGGCTACTCTTATATAGGAAAATATTTAATTGGGGTTGACTTACAGTTCAGAGGTTTAGTCCATTAATGTCATGGTGGGAAGCCTGGTGGCATGCATCCAGATTGGCAGGCAGCAGGAAGAGAGAGCAAGCTACTGGGCCTGGCTTGAGCTTCTGAAGTCTCAAAACCCACCCCTAGTGACACACTTCCTCCAATAAAGCTACACCTATTTCAGCAAGGCCACATGTCCTAATCCTTTCAAATAATGTCATTCCCTATAAGCCTGGGGGGCCCATTTTATTTAAACCACCACATTATTAATTAACAACCCCCATTCCATATGGTTGTAATCTCTTTGACTATTTTAATGATCCAGTTGTATATGTATGGCGGGAGAAGGTGGTGAATGTGGGTTTTGGAAATAATCACAACTGTTGATTCTATAGTTCCTGAAGCACCTCCCTCCCACTGAAGCCAGCACACCTACCTGTCTCCCCCTTCCCTCTCTTTCTTTTTTAAAAGACAGGTGAGTATTACTGTCCAGCTTATGCAGTGATGGGGATCAAACCCAGGCCTTTGTGATGCTGGGCAAGCTCTCTCCCAACCTAGCTACAACCCACCAAGCCTGATTATCAGATTTTTGATAGCTGAAAGGCATAGACAAATAAACAGTCAATATTCAACCTTCAGTTTTCTGAACAGATTTCAGAAGTTCATGGCTGACAGTTGGGGATGGGGAGCAAGCCTGGCCTCACACTCACTCAAAAGGTGGAGGCAGACTATTGGTGGTGGCGCATACCTTTAATCCCAGCACTCAGGAGGCAGAGGCAGGTAGAGCTCTGTAAGTTCGAGGCCAACCTGGTTTACAGAATGAATTCCAGGGCTACACAGAGAAACCCTGTCTCCAAAAACAAAACAAAACAAAACAACAACAACAACAACAAAACCCACACAAAAAAACAAAAAGGCAAAGTTTAGAGGGCCAGGAGTTCCATTTTTGGCTATGCAGTGAATTTGAGGCCAGCTTGAACTACTGGAGACAGTCTCAAAATTGAAAACAAAAACAAAGGTCACAGCTGAGACAATCTGCAATAGACTTGAAAGCCAGGCCTATGACTCGAAGGAAAGGGCCCATTGCCAGGGAAGGGAGGTCATGGGGTTTCTGCTGCACACAGTAGGCTAGGGAGAGGGTAGATACAGTCAGTGCTCCACCCGCTAAAGGCAAGAGAGGGAGGGGTTTAGTGGGTAGAACAGGCAGAGACCATCAAGCAATGTACATCAAGAAGATCCAGGGAGTGGGTGAAGGAGGCTGCTCTTCCAGAGGACTCAGACTCAGTTTCCAATACCCACTCAGAGGCTTACATTATCTTTAACCCCAGTTCCAGGGCATTTGCCACCGTCTCCGGGCCTCCTTGGGCACTGGAGGCTTGTGGTGCCTAGCCATACATTCAGGCAAACGTTCATTAAAAAACAATCCAGGTAACCCCAGGTGTGGAGGCACATACCTGGGATCCCAACACTTGGGGTCTGACAAAGGAGTCTGAGGATGGAGGATCACAAGTTTGAGACTAGCCTGGGCTTAGTAAGATCTCAAACATACAAGGACTGAGAGTTAGGCATGGGCAGTGGAGGCAGGGGGATCAAGAAGAGCCTGAGCCACATAGTAAATTCAAAGTCAGTCTGGGCTATATGAAACACTGTCTCAAATAACAGCAAAACAAATGAAAACCCATCTCCTGTGGAAAACAAACCGTGAGCTGTAGAAAATGCAGACTTCTGTGTGTGTTTTTTTAAGTGTGTGTGTGTGTACACATGCCATTTGTGTGTGTGCCCTCAGGGGTCAGAAGAGGGCATCAGATTCCGTGGAGCTGGAGTTACAGCCAGTTGTGCGCCATGGGACAGGGATGCCAGGAGCGGAAATGGAGTCCTCTGAAAGAGCATTCGCCTCTGAGCCATCCCTTCAGCCTCCCAGGCTCAGTCTGCTCGCCCTCATGCTGAGACATCCCCTGCTATCTTAGTCCTTGCACACATGTGCTGCATATGCACTTAAGTTACATGCCAGACTGAATCTCTATATGAATTACACACTGCACTCTCTCTGAGACCAACAATGGAGTCTTCCTTGTTCCCCAGTTTCAGCATCCAGCAGAGTTTAGGGTGTGGAGGGACATGTGAGGAGCATCTGGCTAAATAAATTTTTAATGAAAATTTCTCCAAAATCTCAGTAGGAAAAAAAGGGGGAATTTATTATTTTTGCAAATGATTTGTGGGAAACTGTGAATTCCAGGCATCTTAAGAAGTCGATGGGGGATGATGTTAGGGAAGGAGACCCATGAGGTGTGAGGGGACTTTCTAATCATACTGTTAGGAAGCCCCAAGGGGCAGCCCCGTCTTTCAGCGATAAAAGTAGCCAGCAGGGTTGGGATGTAGCTTGGTTGGTAGGGTGCTTGTCTAGAATACATGAAGTCCTGGGGGTGGCTCTCAAACACGACATAGGTCGGGTGTGGAGGCTCATGCCGATGATCTCAGCACTAGGAAGGTGGAAACAGAGGGATCAGGAGTTCAAAGTCGTCTAAGTCATCTTCAGCTACCTTTTGAGTTCAAGGGCACTTTGAGCTCCAAGGAACCCTGCACCCCTCCTCGCTCAGGAAAAAGAAAGCACTCGGCATATATTTTACATCTGATCTGAAAGGCAGAGAGAAGCAGTCTGCACATTTTCTAAGACTGTCTCCTTCTCCTTTTTGTATCTCAAGGGACATCTGCTAAGCTCCATGGCGTGTCCCCTTTGATAGTGGGGGGTCATCTCAATTCATCTCTAGTTCCACTCCCAAGCGTTCTCCTAATGTGTCCCTTGTGCCCTCTGTCTCCCTCAATCAAGGTCAATTCCATAGCTCAGCACGCTCTCTCACCCTTATCCAGGCCACTGCCCCCCACTCCCACCCCCACCCCGAGCTGGACCTGGTGTCGCTGCTGCTTCAACGATGCCCTTTAATCCCCTCCGGTCGAAGCAGCCGGACTAGTATCGCTTCACTCCAGGCCCTTCCTCTGCTTCTCATCCGAAAGGGGTGCAGCCTCTCTGACTGGCTCCACCTTCATCTCTGGCCCTGGACACTTTGTTTTCTAGGACGGGAGGCAGGGAACTGGGGAGGACAGCTTCTGTTTCTCTCACCAGCAGCTTCCTGGAGATTGCGTAGGCTGGAGCTGGCGTGTCCTAGGACTGGGCTGGGCGGTGACCCTCGGCTACCAGGGTCTGCCCTGGACCCCTGGCTCCTCCTCCCAGCTCCTTTCAGCCCTCCTCTTCTCTTTCCCTCTCTGCTCCAAACCTCTTGGAATAGCGGAGTCTCTGGGCAAAAAGGGCCCCTCCCAGTTATTGTCCCAGTGGGAACCTTGCTCAAGGTCACCGAGCAGGTCAGATCCGCGCTGGGACTGGAAGCCAGCCTCAGCCTCCTTCCAGCTCCCAGGCAAGCAGGCGCGCAGCCCGCTGTGACAGCGGGATCTGAGGAAGGGGGAGGCGAGCGCCCTCCTCTGGCCGCTCTCTGAACGCCGTCTTCCTGGGCCAGGAGCCGGCGGGTCACTAGAAAGCCTCCCTCACCCGTGCCTGGGTGGTTCAGATCTGAGTGACTGCTTTGCCAGAAGGCCCCGGTGGTCTATGTTTGGGTCATTCATTCAGAAGTGGGATGGGAGATGGCACCTAGCTCAGAACAGTCTATAGGAAAGTCATAATCTACCACCTGCTGGCTAGGTTCGAGTTTCTAGCAAATTCTTCCTGGTCTTTGGCTCTTGCTGGGTGATCGCTATGACCTTGAAATCTAAGATCTGTATCCTCGGTTCTCCGCCCCCTTTTCCCTCTCATTTAGGCCCCCATCGTTTAACCAGTTCACACCAGCGTGTGTGGTGTGGTGGAGTGTGTGTGTGTGTGTGTGTGTGTGCAGTGCTCTGGGAAGTCAATGGCTAATCTTAAGGGATGGTATTGCCAGGCAGTGACCTCCTAGGACCCAGGTGTCAGGGAAGGGGTCAGAGTAAGGCTAACATTGTCCATGTTGCTGAATTGAAATAGCAAACTGCAGGTTATTTCAAAATAGAAAACATTCCCCAGAACTGGGAGCTTGTTGTCCCAGCAGGAGCCACACACACACCCCACACACACACACACACACACACACACACACACACACACACACACACACCACACACACACTTCCTCTGTGCCACAGGCCCACAGGCCCCAGGGCATCTAGTCATTCTTCCAGTGGCCAAGGTTAAATGTCTGCCGCTGCTACATGCAGCCCCTGTAACGGCATCTTAGTTCTTCCAAGCTGGAAGGCAGGGCAGGGCTGGGGGCTGTTTTCAGTATGAAATCATTTCCCACAGTGAAGAAGCAGCCGGGTTCTGCATGTGTCCACTGACAGTCTTGGATGCCTGCCCAGTGCTAGGAGTCTAAAAATGCCTGAACCCATCTTGAGATCTCAGGAGACTGGCCTAGGAGCCAGTAACCTCCCCAGACTGATGACCACCCTATCTTGAACCCATCCCAGAGGGAAGCTCCTCCACGCTCAGTGCTCTGTGTCCTATTGATGGTTAGATGCCATAGATAGATATGGCTGGAGTCCCTAAGGCTCAGTGCCCAATACTCAGTTATCCAGCTCCATTGGTGTGTGCTAAACCAAGTAGGAAGTTCAGTCAGGTTTCTGGGGAGGACAGGAGTTCTAGTTATGCCTAGGAGAGGTACCCTTGTCTGTAGAGACATAAAGGCCTATTCATAGAAGAGAAGGATCTGGAATTTAAACCAACACATCCTTACCTGGGAAAAAAGCAAGAATAATACCTGGTGGGAAGCATGTCAATGGAGGTGGTTCAAAGGACCATGAAGGGCTCCCTCCCCTCTCCATCTTTAAGTAATTAAAGCTGTGTGGTAGTTTGAGTCATCACTGGTAGAGAGACCAGCATAACAGACTAGGTGTAGAAGATATCATAGCATAAGAATTAAAAAAACAAAAACAAAAAACCCCACAAGGTCTCATGTAGCTCAGGCTGGCCTTGAACTCACTTTATAGTCAAAGATACTCTCAAACTCTTGGACCTCATGCCTCCACCTCCCAAGTGCTGAGATTACAGGCATATGCTCTTATGTCTGGTTTATGCAGTGGTGGGGACCAAACTCAGGGTTTTTGGCATTCTAAGCAAGCACTCTTTTGAGCTACATCCCCAGCACAGCATATAAGAATCTAAGGACACATAGGTAATCAATGGGAAGCTAATTATTCAACACACACAGTTTGGAAAATGGGCTACTGAAGGGGAGGAGGCACAGGTGATACTGACCTTAGCTAATTTACCATTGTAAGTCATGGTTGAAGAGTTGTTCTGCTGGGCTCAGAATGGGTGGGCCAGAGGGGCAGACAGATCATCTTGTTCACTCATTTACCTTCTCCCCTGGGCCCAGGCAGGATAGTCTCAGCCAGGTGACGGCTCTATCTTCCCTGACATCTGATAAGAAGGAGCTTACATGGACCTTACTCTGAATGGATTCAGGATTCCTTAAAACCTAGGCTTTGATAATTGGCCTAGAAGCAGAAACTCCAGGAGTATCTTTGCTCAAACTCACGTTCACCAATGCTGCCTTCGGGCCTCCCAGGAGCCCCTACCACTTCCCCTTTCCCTGACCAGCTTGTTTGTATCACTTGTGCCAGGCACTGGGCGGTATTGGGAATCTGTCCATCCTCTCAGCAGCTGGCATCATGGAAACCACAGGTGTTTGACCAGGAAGGGCCCCTGGGAATTGTTCCCACCCCCTTATTGTACAGATAGGGAAAATATTGTCCAGTGCAGAAAAGTGACATGCAGGATTTCCCACAATGGAGCCAGAATGGGATCTAAACCCTCATCTGCCCAATGTCCTGTGCACAGTTCCCCTACAGTCTTCTGATGCTCCCCACTTAAGCTTGTACTAGTTCCTCTGGCTCCCTGAGTTACCTGTGGCATCCCCTTGGCAAACTGACAACCCTCTTCTCAGAGAGGCCTGGCTTGGTGAGGGAGTACTGGTGTACTCAGCTTCTCTGTCCCTAGACCCAGAAAATCTCCATCTTTTGGCTTCTCCACGACACTGGCTCAGTGACCTCGGGCACATCACTCACTGTTCCACCAATACAGTAATAGGAACTAAGGAGTCAAACACATGGACCAGTATCTTACAGACTATGCAGTGCCATTCCAATGTAAGACACTAGTCTTCCCAGACCCCAACACAAGATTGGATACTGAACAGACATGGTCTTCTATAGCCCAGGCTGGCCTTGAATTCCCTATGTAGCCAAGGTTAACTTTGAACTTCTGATCTTCCCCCACCTCCCAAGTGCTAGGATTACAGACATGTGCTACCGCCCCCCAGTTTATGTAGTGCTTATGACCACATCCAGGGCTCCATGCGTTCTAGGTAAACACCCTACCAACTGAGCTACACCCTAGTGTAGACCTCTCCTCAGATAGGGTCTTGGGGTGTATCTCAGCCTGGGCTGGAACTCTTGATAATCCTCCTGCCTCAACCTCTGAGTGGTAGAATTATAGATATGAGCCACTATACTTGGCCATAGCAAATACCTTTTGAATAGCTGTAGGAAGCAATTCATTAAAAAACTGTAATATTTGTGTGTGTGTGTGTGTGTGTGTGTGTGTGTGTGTGTACAAGTGCACAAGAGTGCCATGTCAAATGTGTGGAGGTCAGAGGACAATTAGAGGGAATCAGTTCTCTCCTCCTATGACTCAGGTTGTCAGGTTTGGCGGTGGGTCCCTTTTCCTGCTGAACCACCTCACCAGCCCCAGAACACTAGTTCTGCATTGGGGGTGATTCTGATACCCCCAGAGGTGCTGAGGAACATCAGGGGCATTTTTGTCTGTCAAAACCAGGTAGAAATTGCTGTGACATCTGATGTTAGGCCAGGGACACTGATGAGCACTCGTATGGCGCACAGGGCAGCCCCCACAGCAAAGCACTGTTGGTCCCACGATATCCAAAGTGCCAGATGAACGGAACGTGGCAGGAGAGCTGTACAGACGTAGCTGTCATCCCAGAAAGACAAAGGAGCCGTGAGTGTGCAGCTAACCATAGAGACAAGGTGGTGACTAAGTAAGGTCTCCCTGGGGCTAAATGACATGGCCATGCCTTGGCTTGATAAGTGAAAACATTTTATTTCAATTCTATCCTTGGGAGGCAGCATAAATAATCACAGAAGACCACAAAGGTCAATGGAGAGAAAGAAAGCTCCGGAAGTGTGGAGGAGGCGATGAGAGCTGATGAGAGCTGGCAGTCTAGCTGTGGTGGTGCGGGAGGAGAAGCCGCTGCAGCAGGCTTGGAGCAGGAACCATCACTGGGTGGAGAGCAGAGGCCCTAAGACTGTGGAATCTCACCTCCCGGCTCCCCAGCAGGGCCTCTGGGGTTGGGAAGTTTTGCAGGGTGGCCACAGAAAGGGCAAGCAAGGAGTGTCCTGTGTGTAGCAGATCCCAGGCCACGACAGAGATGCCCACATCTCCTCTGCCCAAGTGGCGGGGACTGTTGTGACATCAGTGCTTCTGAGCTCCATGTGGTAGGTGGGGAATGGAACGAGGGAGGGGAGAGGGAATAAAGCAAGCCTGCAGAAGACCCCAGGGGATGTAGCGTCTCAGAGCCGAGTGCCTGAGGGCCACCTCCCTGTTTCTGTCACTGTAAAGTAGAGCAGATGCAAGAGTCGGTGAGATCCATGTGTCACAAAACTGGGTAAACTTCAAAGTGCTATGTGGATCGAGTGGCTGTGGTCATCCTGCGTGTGTAAGGCTGAAAGTGGCTGAGATAGCAGGGCTGGAGTGGGAAGGGGAAGGCGGAGGGCGATACAGGCAGACGGCATCCCTGGAAGCCATCAGACCCTTGCTCTGCCTGCCCTGGGGCCAAGCTCTCCCCTTCTCAGCCTCAGTTTCCAGGAAGAGGCCTCATCTCAGATGGAGCCCCCCGGGGGAGGAGTGAGAGCAAAGAGTGCAGGCCAGGAGGGTCCAGGGGCACTGAGTGTGAGGGGCCTCAACCGGGCAGTATGGCGTGTTGGCACTACTGGTGTTGGGCAGACAGTAGAAATGGCTTCCAGGTCTCATTCTGGGGAAGCCCACACAGGGATTGGCATCTCAATAGACTGGAAAAGGCCCTGGCCAGGGCGTCTGGATGCCAAGGGTACTTGGCCTGCTGCTGCCCCTCTGGGTGATTTTGAAAGTTGAAACCTGATTGCAACCCTCAGTTCTGCGGTTTGACAAGTGGGGCCACGAATCCCTACCCTGCCTGGATCACAAATGAAACGGAAAAAGGGTGTAAAAGAGCTTTGAAGAGAACCACGGGGAAGGCAAGGGGTCATTATGGCCTTGGACAGTGTCCTCTTCATCCCTGAAGACAAGGGGGGTCGGGGAGAGTTCAGAAAGAAAAGGGCGCGCTGCCAGGTGCTCACCGCTGGGTGAGATGAGCAGGGCTTGTGGGGCAGCTGGGAGCAGAATGAGGTGGGAGGTGGGCAGAGCACTCCACCCTCCGTCCAGCCTCACTGTGCTTCAGAAGTGAGGCTGAGACTGGGAGCAGCTAATCCCTGCGTAGGTAGGTCCTGGCAGCCCCTCTGCAGGGGACAGATTCAAGTTCTAAGTCAGGCTGTAATCCTGCTCTCTCTCCATCCCTTGGAGAGCATCCTGAAGGGAGCCAACAGGAAGCCTGGCTCCCGGGGTTGCAGGGAAAGAGGCTGCCAGTCAAGGGTGGGCTCTCCAGGAGAGGCAGGGGGACCGGTATTAGCATGAAGTCAGGAGGTCAAAGGTCAGCTTCCAGTTCTTGAGGTGGTAGGTAGGGTCTACCGGCTGGTCCCCAGCTCCAGTCCAGGCCCTGTCTCTGGGCTCAATAGATAAGGGGCAGTTTAGGGACCAGTAGAAACAACGGAGAGATTGGCTTGGAAACCAGCCCACGGAGGGGCTAACAGTTCTTGGGGTTGTTGCGCAGGTTTTTCAGTTCCAGCTGGAGCTGACGGAGCCGTATGTCCTTCTGGGCCAGCTCCTCCTTCAACCTCCGGATCTCATCCTGCTGCCTGAAGAACATCCTGAGGAGCTGGGGTGGAGCAAGGGGTTCAGGGAGAGAGCAGGTGAGGGGGACTCTGGAGCACCAGGGCTCTCAGACATCCCACCCCACCCAGGCCTGGCCTGCCTGTTCACCTTCCGCATGCCTCCTGCCACCCTGGGACAGCCAGCCCAGTGCCCCCTGCAACTGTTCTCCAGGCTCATCCCTCCAGGCTCATCCCTCCAGGCTCATCCCTCCAGGGCTCCTATCTACCCTTGAAGCGAGACTAGAAAGCCTACTGGCCAAGCAGACCTGCCTGAGGGAGGCCAGTTTCTGCCATCTCAAGCTCGCCCCTTTACGGGTCTGAACCTGAAAACTTTGTTTGAGACAGGGTCTTACCCTGCAGCCCACTGTCATGTAGCAGAGACTGGCTTCGAACTCCTGGCCCTCTTGCCTCCACTCCCCCTTCTTTTCTTTCTTCTCTCTTTTCCCTCCCTCCCTTCTTCTTGCTTTCCTTTTCCTCTTTCTTGTAGTTCAGGTTGGCTACATTCAAACTTGCTATGTGGTAGAGGATGGCTTGCATTCCATGTACTCCTGCTTCTGTCTCAAGACTGTGAGTGCTGGGATTACAGAGAGAGGTATATTCCACCCTGCCCAGCTCCTAATGATCCGCCTGCCTCTGCCTTCCAAGTGCTGGGATAAAAGGCATGTACCACCTTGCCTGGCTTAGACTTTTCTTTTTAAAGAAAAAAAAAAGCTGGCCTCGAACTCACTAAGTAGCTGAGCATGACCTTGAACTCAGGATCTTCCTGTCTCTTCCAGGTGCTAGGATTATAAGCATGTGTCTCGGTTTTTGCAGTTGCAATGTAGGGGGCGATTGAACCCAGGGCCTGATCTGTGTACTCAGTTCCTCTTCTCTTCTTGAGGAAACCGAGGGTACAGAATGGTGCTTAGCCTTGGCGATGGTGGCGGTGGTGGTGGTGGTGGTGGTAGCGGTGGCGGTGGCGGTGGCGGTGGTGGTGGTGGTGTGTGTACGTACAGAGCTCAGAGCATGCTGGGAAAGTGCTGTACCACTGAGCTGTTGCTCTAGTCCTAGAATCTTGTTTAAAACATGAGACCGTGACTGAAATACCAAAGTCTGGGCAGTGGTTCAGTTCCTGGCAAACATGGATGGGCAAAGCATTGGTATTTTGGCAGCCCCTCATGCAGTTGACTCCCTGGATCTACCAGATTCTCGTGGCTTCAGTGAAATATTCTAACAGACGCCCACAAAACAGTGAGTGGGAAGCAGGCTGCTGGGGGGCCCCTGCACTTGAGCACGCCATGAGGAGCAGTCAGTAAGCTGCATTCCCCCGTGGTCTCTGCTTCTGTTCCTGCTTCCCAGTTCCTGCCTTGAAGTTCTGCCCCGACTTCCCCCAGCGATGGCATGTGATGGAGAAGTGGAAGTTGAATCAACTCATTCCTCTCCAACTCACTTTTGGAAATAGTGACTTATCAGAGCCATCGAAAGCGAACTAGGACCCCACCGCCACTGTGGTGTGAGACTCCAGCATGAATTCCATTTGATACTGCATGTACTTTTGCCATTTAATTAGATATAATGTATATTGATGAGATAAGTACAAAGAATTGCCATTTCTATAAAAAAAACAAGTAGAAAGTCTTGCTAAAGTCGATGCTTAAACAATTGTGGCAGAATCCAGAGTAAGGTTGATGTAACCATGGAGACTGGTTATAGTGGCCTTCCAATATTTGCACTTATCAAAAATCACAGACCTGAGGCTGGAGGTGGAGCTCACTTGGTAGAGTACTTGCCCATCATGCACACAGCTTTGGGTTTGATACCCAGCACCGTATAAATCAGATGTGGTGTCACATGCCTAAAATCACAGCAACCAAGACACAGAGAAGGATGAGAACTTCCAGATGACCCTTGGTTAAACAGTGAGTTTGAGGGCAGCCAGGGTTACAGGAAACCCTGTCACAAAATGAAACAAAACACCCTCATATATATATACATATCAAAGAATGAATTTTCTACCTCATTGTACCTGTCTCAAAAGTAGTTTGGGGGCTAGTGGTGGAGCACTTGTAATCCCAGTGCTGGCTGAGGCAGGAGGATGGAGAGTTGGAGCTTGGCCTGGGTTGTTCAAGGAGATCCAGTTTCAAGTCTCTTCTCTGAACTATTGAATGAGTGCATATATTTTATGTTTCGAACAAAAGCCAATGGTTTAAAGAATTCACCACTTACTTGGTCATGGTGGTGCAAGCCTTTAATCCCAGCTCTCAGGAGGTAGAGGCAGGCAGATCTCTCAGAGTTCAAAGCCAGCCTGGTCTACATGGTGAGTTCCAGGAGAGCCAAGGCTATACAGAGAAGTCTTGTCTCAAACAAACAAGCAAGCAAGCAAACAAACAAGAATGCCTCACTTCTATGAGTCCCTCCTTTCATTGATTTTCCTTGTTTTAAAATCAATTAATTAATTAATAATATTATTGGGTGGGGTTTGCTGAGGCAGGTTCCCATTATATATAGCACAGACTAGCCTGGGATTTGAGCTACTCCTGCCTAAACCTCTTGAATGCTGGGACTACAGGCTTATAGCCCAGGCTAGCTTTGAACTCACGGCAGTCCCACTGGCTTTGCCTCCCAGTTTCTGGTATTATATGCATGCACCACCATACCCACTTCAAAACGTGGCTTTTTGAGGTACAATTCACAGACCCTCACATCCACACATTTTCAGTAAAGTTACTGAGATAGCCAACCACATACCTTCCCTCCCTCTCTTTTTCTCTCTCCCTCCCTCTCTCTTTCTTTGTCCTGTTTTTGAGATAGAGTCTTATTCTGTAGCCTAGTCTGCCCCAGAATTCACTATGTTGTCCAGGCTGATCTCGAACTCCTGGCAATCCCCCTGCCTCAGCTTCTCGAGTGCTGGGATTTCAAGCACGTATCAGCACGCCCTGCTTACGAGTTATCTCCTTGTCCTTACTTAGGTCACCGTGTTCTCCTTTCATGCCCTCTTTCTCGTTGGTTGCTTCTGAGCTTTTGGAATGACTACAGCCATGGGTAAAGGCGGCTCTGCAGGGCCTGAGTTACTTCTTCCCAGGATGGGAGAGGCACAGCTTTGCTACGGGAGGATAGTGGACTCTGCCTCACCTGAGCAGAGAACCTGTGAATGCTTTCCCCGTCCTCAATTCCATCCAGATGGACATCCTGGTAGCTGGATGTCACTCCATTAATCCCCTCCAGCCCTCCTCTCCACCCTCAGGGCTGAGACAGACCTCCACCTCTCACTGCTGCTCACCTGGGCAATCTCAGCAACCCATGTTTCTACCTCCAAAAGGCAGAGTACTTAACGTTTTAAAGACTGAGTATTAAATATAAACAAAACTAGGAAACGTAGCACCAGGAACTCCCCAGTACCTGTCATCCAGCTTCACCCCTGCTCCAACTCTCTATCACTGCCCTGCGCTGCCCTCCTCCTGGGGGTTATTTTGAAAAGAACCCTGTTTATCACAAGACTTTATCCATTCTAGAAATCTCCCACAGTGGCACACGACCCCACATCCCTTCCTCTCCCTCTCCCAGGTGTCTAGCTCAGGCTGGATTCTACCTCAAAAGCACTCCAATTACAGGTGTCTATCACCATGCCCAGTTTATATGGTACTGGGTATTGACCCTGGTCCTTGAGCATGCTAGACAAGCATTTCACCCACTGGGCCCCATCCCCAGCCCACATAAACACATTTCATGCCTGTGACCAAATGCCTATCTTTTAAGGCAATCCCTGAGGTCGAGTGCAGTCTAACTTTTATTAATGATGGTGACAGCCCACCTTTGCTAGACCAGCAGCCTAGTCTAAGTTTTTATTCTCTTCCCTCAAGACTGAATTGGACCTAACAGTGTCAAGCTAACAGGGCACCGCAGGAGCGATGATGTGTCTTCCCCGGATTAGTTAACAGAACTGTTTTGGCCTCCATCTTGGACTCTTCTTACTCTATGGGAAGCTGGCTGCCATGATGAAAGCTAGCATGTAGTGAAATCCACATGGCGAGGACGGTGAGGACTGAGGCCCTCAGTGTGACAGCAGCCGTGTGAATGAATGTCCAAGCAGGTCCTCCCTTAGTTGGGACCTGGCATGTGACTGCAGGGCCCAGCTGATAGAACTGCAGCTTCATGAGTGACTTGAACCACAGGCACCCGGAGATGCTGTGAGCTGACAAACCTTTGTCGGGCATTGGACTTTGAATGCACCTTAGAGGATCGGGTGTTTTAACACGGTTTCCGACTGGTGGTGCTGTTTGCGAAAAGGCTGTGGGACCTTTAGGAGGCAATGCCTCCCTGGATGAAGTAGGCCACTAGGGTGAGATTAGAAGTTTTATAGCCCTGCTTCACCTCCTGTTCACTCTCTGTTTCCTGACTGTGAAGGTGATGTGACCTTTGCCTCCCACTAATGTTGCCATGGCTTCCCTGCCATCGTGGACTGTATCCCCTCGAACTGTAAGCCCAAGTAAACCCTCTCTGCTTGCTCCTTCAGGTATTTTGGTCCCAACAACGAGGAAGTAACTAATATATGGGGTGAAGTAAATGTGCTCTGGGGTAATTTATTACATAGCAATACAGAGCTAACACAGCCAGCCTCTTTGAGCACCTAGCATGAGCTGTGAAGACTACTGGGTACTTGTGCATGATCTCTTAAATGTCACAGCTGTTGGAAAAGTCAGGAAACTCACTCAGTCCCAGACAGAAAATTGCAGAGCCAGTATTCACACACAGATGGGCCGTTCAACCAATTACTCTTCCAGCTGCATCAGGCCAAGGGCCTGGCACAGAGCAGGCATCCCATAACGGCCAGCTGAACTGAGCTCTGTTGGCACGTGGGCCTGGGGGTATAGACTGAATGGAGATGACTTCAGAGGTCATGGTCAAGAACGGCTCAGCTCCAGCTCTCCCAGAATGGGCTTGCATCCCTTCTAGACGGTACAACGAGCCTTTCATAGACTTCCAGCCTCTTCCACCGAGGCAGGAAACACCACAGACCATGAAGCAGGAAGGGCAAAGCAGGTTCTGATGATGAGGCCTAGCTGGATCCTGTTTGTCGGTAATTTACAGTCCTCATAACAACACCTGACAGTAACACCCCGTGGTTCAACCCCTGTGTTGGTGTATTTGAGGTTAGAGGGGCACAGATCTTTCTGACTTCTCAGACTCTATTCACTGAGGTCAGAGGTAAAGGAAGCCAACCACACACTACTTACAGAATTAGGCACTGAAAGAAAAATGTCCCAGAATAGAGCTGGCTTCCAAGCCCGAAGCTCATAGTGGTAACAGAAAGGCCTGGCTCTTCCTGAGCTGTGGGAGAGACCCTGCACCTTACCTCGTTTTCTGTCCTGGGTGGGACATTTTCTAATAAATCTATGCCATTCACGACAACACTCTTCTTTTCTCGGATGGGGGCCTTAAACACCACCTTTGAAGACTTCTTATAGCCTTCCTTCAAAGACATCAGCACAGGATCTAGGAAGGCAAGGGAGACAGTGTCATATAACAGGTCGGACTGTAGAGTGAGGGAGCCTCACTGCATTGAGCTGGCTGTGTGGGAGAGAGGGGACATCTGGACGGGGTGGGGATCATGCAGAGGAGGCTGGGTGAGCTAGGGAGTGGTAAAGCCTGCGGCCTCTTGGGCTCTTCTGTGGTGCCTGCCTGCTGAGGTACCTCGGTTGATGCCTCCCAGCCATTCATCTGGGGTCAGAGCTGGCTCCGTGCCTGGGGTCATGGGATAAATGTCTTCTTGGTAGGAATCTGACTGCATGAAGGAGGAAGAAGAGAAAGGATATCTGGGGACTGCTGGAAAAGCCCTTCCCACCCAGCCAGGCACACCTCTGTGCTGTCACTGCCCTCCTCAGGCCTCCCATCTAGAACTGTCCCCTTTTATGCAAACCAACCACCCCTACCCGAGAGTTCCTCCACCCTCTACCCCAGGTGGAGCCTGAATATTCTAGTCTGTGACACCTCTTTTATCTGGGTCCCTCTTGGCTTCTGGTTAGTAAGATTCAGCATGGGGCCCTTTGCAGCCCAGCCCAGCCCCACTCACCCTCCGGGGCACAATCATGGAGATAGGCTCAATCAGGCCCTTGAGTGTCACCAGCTTGTAGAAACGGAACACCTCACAGGCAGACACATCCAACCCATGCTTGGGCATGACGCCTACGGAGAGATGCATGGCTTTGTGGGGATCTCTCTGTCCCTGCTCACTGCCTGATGTTCTCAGGAAGAAAGCAGGGCAACGATCCATCCAGGACAGAGGGTGGCCATGATGTCTTGAGTCAGCCTCTGACTCTAGATGGTCACTTCTTTGTGTGTGTGTGTGTGTGTGGGGGGTGTGTGGCATGGGCAGAGTCAAGGTCACGTATCTCAGGCTGGCCTCAAACTCAACATATAAAGGTGTAGCAAGGCTGCAGGGCCAGGACCTTCTGGGGTGACCTGTCTTCCCTAAGCCCTAGGTCTCAGTCTGCAGAGGACAAAATGAAGGGCAAAGCCATCCCCCACTCATCCAGAGATTTCAATACAGCCTAAGAGAGGGTGTCCGTTGTTTATCTTCTAGAACCAGCAGTACGTGTGTGTTTCACTAGCCATGATGTCCCCAACAGCTTTATCTCCTGAACAGAAGGAGGTGGGGCAGCATAGTGCTAAGAACTCAGCCTGGGGTTCCACAAACTGGGTTTGAACTGGGACTCTTTTTCCACTCAGGAGTCCTTGGGTGAGTCACTAACTCTGAACTTTTTGGTTCTTCGAGCAGAAACAGCCCTGTGTGAGGTCATCAGAGAATGAGGCACAAAGACGATTGGCACTTGTCTGGCAGCATGCCAAGGGCAGGCAGCACACATGTCTCTCCTGTGATGTGAGTGTGAGTGAGGGTCTAGGTCTTTCCCACTGGAGTGGAAGCTGCTCTTCCAAACAGAATTCTAGAATGCCCTCCCTCCCACGTAGCTCTCTTTCTCTCTTTTTCTTCATTGAGACAGGGTCTCGGTTCACAGCCCCTAATCTGACCTTGAAATCACAGTCTTCTGCTTCCCTCTTTGAGTTCTGGGATCCTAGGAAAATGGTGAACTTCTGCTTGCTCTGCTGGGCCGGGCCAGGGCTGCAGCTTGAGGCTGGAGTCCTGGCTTCCAAGCCACTGAACCACCTTGTACCATGCGAGTCCCACTGTGGAGTGAGTCTCACCCGTGCCCTGCAGGCTGCTGCTGGGCAGAGATGGCCAAGCTAGTGTCATGAGTGACAGCAGGCTACAGGGGCAGCTGACCAGCTGAAACAGCATCTGTGAGTCCCATTCCCACCTCGCCATGGAGTGCGGCTTTGGAGTCTGACTACTGTGTAAAGGGGAATATGATGCACAAGCCAACACCATCTCCCGTTCTGCACAGAGCAGCCCCACAGCCTCTTTGAATGCTGGGATCCTGGGAAACCCTCTAGGTCCTTACCTAGGCCTTTCTGTGGGGCTGGGGAGCGGAACTCCATGAGGTAGCTCAGGTAGGGCTTCTCCGTGCTGATCTCATAGTACCGGATGTTTCCATCCCCCTGCGGGTAGCAGAGAGGCAATGAGGATGGAGGGCAGGGTCCAGTAAACCCAGCCCCAAGGGGCTATGGAAAAGAGCTGCCCTTGTGCCTCAGAGGTGGCCAGGAGACCAAGGAGACCTGCAGTTTAGACCTTGGTAGCTCTTCTGGAGGCAGGGGTGGAGATGGGATGGTGTATATGTGATATGTATGTATGTGTGCTCATGGTGTGTGTCTGTATGGTGTATGAGATCTGGGTGATATTGTGTGCAGTGTGTATGTGTGTGGCATGAGTACAGTGTGGTATGTTTGTATAGTGTATATATGCTGGGATATATAAGTTGTGATGTGTGGTATGTGTGTGATATGGCATGTATGTATGGTATGTGTGGTGTGGTGTGTGGTTTGTGTGCACTGTGGTATGTATGTATGGTCTGTGTGACATGTACGTATGGTGTGCTGTATAGCATATATTGTGGTATGTATGTACAGTACAGTCAGTATGTATGGAATGTATGTGGTGTGTACACTGTATGCGCAGTGTGGTGTGGTTGGTTTTATTGTGTCAGTTTTTCTGACGAGGCCATATTCAAAGATCTCCTGGCAGGTGTTTCACCTTCTGCCCTTGGTCACTGTCTACGTGTCAGGGTTAGACCTTTATTCCTCCATGCCAGCTTGTCCTGGAAGGAGTTCTTAGTCACTGACACTTCAGTGAAAACGAGAGAGTTGTAAATGAAAGTGAGAGCCGGGGCTGGGCTGGCTCATGGGAAGCCACAAAGGTTAGGTTGGTTTTCTTAGGGGTAAGGCAAGAGTGAAGTTCTAATGGGGACTGGAGCCCCCCACTAATTGGCACCCCTCCCTCACCCCACTACCTTTCCAGCCAGGTAGAGCATGTGGGTGTCAGCATCATAGAATGGGAAGAGGAGGCCTGAGAGTCCATCAATCTCCTCCTCGATCATTGGCATGGATAGGTCCTCCTGTGGGGAGCGGGGTGTGGGTCAGTCTGCATTTAGGAGGAGGGCACATCTCCTTCCCACATCCCAGCACTGCCCCTTCTTTTGAAGACTCCCCAAGGTGCTGAAAAGACATGGGTTGAAAGGAAGGCTGGAAGTATCTTGCAGGTGGGCAAGGCATTGTCTGGAAGCCTGTCTGGTCCCAGGCTCCATCTCCTGAGGTCTCTGTCCAATCCTTGCTGGTGATGCCATAAGAGGCTAGCTGTGCCAGCAGGGACCTGGCTTTCTGAGGACCCAGATGGCCACTCCTGCTTCTCACCTCGTGGCCTTCTAGCCCACTCCCACTCTACCTGTAGAACCATAGGAAGCTCTCCTCGGGGCACAGCTAGGATGCGGCTGGAAGGACCCGAGGAATGGCTTTCTGTCCTCTGTGTCGCTGAGAACAGAAAATGAGCCTGTCCTCAAGCCACACAGGGCGTTGGCATTCACTTCAGCACTCACCGCTGCCCTCCAGGCCTGGTCGCTGGCCCATTAGACTGCTCTGGCAGAGGGGGAGGTGGGTGAGAGGACACGGGAGGGGACTGCACAAGGGTGCTCACCATCCTACAGACCCAGCCGGAGACCAGCCGGGCCTGCTGGATGGTGCAGCTGGAATATAGGCATGGTCCCTGCTGGCATGGAGCTGGGGCAGTGGAGCTAAGCTGAGCTGTTTGTAAAGGGAAAATGATGAATCAGTTGCTTGGGGGCTCTAGGGGCCCAAGAGTGTGGTACGGGTACATATTTAAATGTATGCCCATGTCCAGGGGGTTTGTGAGCACCATCTAAGTCCCACCTGAGGTGGCCCTGTCCCGTCGTCCACTTTCCACACAGGGTGGGCCAGGGTGAAGACTTTCGGAAGCACCACTTTCTTGGTCTCTTCCCCCACATGAACTTCATCCCAGCTCTTTTCTAGTATATTCTCTGTCCACCTGCATGGAGGCCCCAGGCACCCAGACCACGGACTTCACTCTACCCTTGCCCCATCTGAAAATCAGAGGTCCCGGGAGCTCAGATCTAGGCTGCCTGCCCCTCCAGGGCATCCTGCTGCATCCCTGCGGCTGACCTGGTCCCAGAGGGCGATCTGTCTCGTGTTCCACCTGGAGACCCCTGTCGTGAGGAGCCGCTTCATGTTGCCCAGGAACACTACCCGATTCACTCTGTGGTTTTTGCAGTTTGCCTCCTGGTGGGGACAGAGACCATAGGTGAGCCAGGACCCTCAGCACGTGGTTCTGTGGAGAGCGGAATGGGATGGCAGTTCCCCCAAGAAACCCGTGGAATCAGGAAGCAAGGGTCCTGCATTACCCAGAGCAGCGGAAACAGGGAAGGACTGTCGCCGTGACATTTCTTTTAACCCACACAACATCTCCTAGAAAGAATCATCCCACCCTCCTGCCTTCATCTTCAGATGCTGGGATCCCAGGCACGTACCACCATGCACAGTTTCAGACAGTGCTGGGGATCAAACCCAGGTCTTTGTGCATGGTGGGCAAGCTGTCTATCAACTGCTCCTTCTTAACCAAGGAGGAGCATGGTGTCCCCTGTCCTGCCTATCCATATTTTCCATCTTCCAGAGCCGTATGGTTGCCATGTAGTGAGAACTCAAGAAACCGTCATTGGTTATTCCCAAATAGCACTCAGTGCTTTTAATCTGAGACTCAGGGACGAACTTCACCACCAGACTCCCCACGTGGAGCCATCTGTGGACCTGGACCTGTGTGCCGTTTGCCCCAGGATCATCCTGTGCAGGTGGCTGGGCAGTGAGTCCAAAGTCCCCTCCCTCCGTACCCATGATGAGACTTGGTTAACCCCCTGGGACTCAGTGACTGAAGGCCCATTGCAGCAGGCTGAAGAATCCCATTTAGAGGAGAGGTCTTTGTGCAGGAAAGAGTCCTCTGGTTCCTTTCCACCCATAACAAGTCAGAAGTCCTACAGGCTGAGAACGGACCTAAGCCGACAGGCTGACCAGCAGGTGTGGGTGAGGTGCATGAGCAGGGCTCCAGCACAACCCCTTTCCCCCACAGACCCCAACACCTCCTCCCCGTCAACAAAATGTAGAGTTCCACCTGCAGCACCCGGCCGGAGCGGGGTTCAATCACACGGAGCTTCTTATCCTTGCACGTGGTGGTGAGCAGGCTGCCGTCTGTGTTGAAGGACATGCAGAGGATCACGTCTGTGTGGCAGTCAATCATTTTCACTGGCTCGCCTATGTCCAGGTTCCAGATGAGGACCTGTGGAGGCAGACATGCAGGAGGTAAAGTCGGCGGCGGCGGCTGTGGTCCCGGGTGCCTGTCCTCCACCCACACCAACAGACCCTGGCAGGAGCTGCCTGCACATGGCCTGGACTATGCTGGGAGGCAGGCACACTGTCAAGGGTTCTGTTCAGAGAGGCAGATGCAGCTCAGCTACACTCCGATGTTCGTCATCACCCTGACAGGATCTACAAATCACCTAGACGACAAGGCTCTGGGCATGTCTGTGAGGGAGTTTTTGGACTGGCTTAGCTGAGGTGGGAAGCCCTTCCTCACATGGACAGCACCGCTTCATGGGCTGCAGTTGAATAAAAAGCACCAGCACTCATCTCCATGCTTCCTGACCACAGACGCAGTGTGAGCAGCGGCCTCATGCTTCTGCTATCATGGCGGACTAGACCCTCCAACTGTGAGCCAAAACAATCCCTTCCTTAAATCGCTTCTTGTTAGGTATTTGGTCACAACAGCCAGAAAAATAACCAACATATATCTACTGATATCCCCCAACAGGTCCCCGAACCAGTCTTGGTTTCTTCAAGAAACAAGGAGAGACATCCATGGCTGGCCCCTGATGACTGGCATGATCAGCTTTGGGGCTGCAGCCTCCCCTGTACTGCAGCTGGGATTGCTCATTTTTCCTACCAGGAGGCATGGTCATCTCTTGGTTAGGAAGTTACCAGGCAAAGGATAAGGCCGTTCTTTTCTAGTCCCCAAAACTCCAGAGAAGACAGGAAAAGATGCCTTAAGCCCCAAGGTCCCCCAGGACAAAATTGTGCACAGGAGATGCTCAGTCTTATGCAGAGCGAATGAGCAATTGAAGGAATGGACCGCCGCCAGTCAACATGCTTAGGCTATATCCCTTGCTCTCCCCCATCCCTCCCCACTGAGCCAGCTCTAGCCAGGCCGCCCCACACCCGGGTCCCACACCTTGTAGTCATAGCCAGCACTGAACAGAATGTTGTTGGTTGTGGGATGCCACTCAACCAACCCCACACGCCGGCTGTGTCCGTGGAGCTCCAGGAGAGCCTCAGTCATGTTCCGCTTCAGCCCGCCCTCAGGAATCTCCCAGATCCGCACCTGCAGAAGAAAAGAGTCTGGGCATTAGCTTAATGAGCAGGGGTAGGGAGGGCCACAGATGGCCCTGTTCCTAGGTTGCTGAGGGAGGTGCCTGCTGGCTCAGGGTAGTGGACAGAGACTTTGGGGGAGGGGGCTGGTGTTAGAGATGGCAGAGTGCATCCCTCGTTGGCCTCAGGTCTTCAAACAAGGAACACTGTTTTCACTTTTTTTTTTGGACAAGATCTAGTGTAGCTCGGGCTGGTCTCACTATGTATCTCAAAATGACCTGAAGCTCCTGATCCTACCACCACCTCCAGAGTGTTGCGATTACAGCAGTGTGCCTAGTTTTACGACATCTGTTTTATGGGTTGCTGGGGATTGAACTCAGGGTTTCATGCATGCCAGACGAGTACTCTACCAACAGAGCCACATCCCCAGCCCCCAGCATGCTGTTCTCCTCCTGCCAAGCTCAGACTGTCCCAGCAGCTTTTAGCAAGCACCAAATTAAAAATCTGCCTTTGTTTTCCCCCAGCAACCCCCCCACCCCCCCGAAGAAAATCTGCCTCTCCTTCTTCTGCCTCAGCTCCTCTGTGTGTCCTTCAGGGTGGGCCCCTTACTTTGTCCCTGACCCTGGATGGACATCTGGGCAGAGGGAGGCTCTGGTCTATGCTAGGAGATAATGGACTCAAGGGCAGAATCCTTGAGGTCAGTCTAGAGGTCAGGCCTAAGCCTGGATGATGGAGCTGCTGTTTGCAGTCTTGTGGCTGCAAAAAAGCAGAAAAGGATGGTCTGTGGAGAGAAGGATGGGCCAAGAATGGTCCAGGTGGAGAGCTCCAGAGAAGAGCGCACACAGCTCCAGAGAGGCGCTGGGCCGCAGACAGACCTTGCTTACTGATACCCACCCCAGTGGGCTTCGATGGCTCCATCCAAGCATGCTTCTGGATCCTTGCCATGTCATCTGCAAGGCAGTGTGTGTGTGTGTGTGTGTGTGTGTGTGTGTGTGTGTGTGTGTGTGTGTGTGTGTTGGACGCGGATGAGGGTGGCGAGTGTCCTTGCCCTGCCTGGCCCCCTGGGATGCAAAATGAGAAGTGGTGGTGATGCTTATCAGCTATAAGGTGTTGTGTAGAGCTACAGAATTATGTAGCTCTACAATACATAGCTTTCCTTCCTTCCTTCCCTCCCTCCCTCCCCCTTCCTTTCTTCCCTCCCTCCCTCCTTTCCTTCCTTCCCTCACTCCCTCCCCCCTTCCTTTCTTCCCTCCCTCCTTCCTTCCCTCACTCCCTCCCCCTTCCTTTCTTCCCTCCCTCCTTCCTTCCCTCACTCCCTCCCCCTTCCTTTCTTCCCTCCCTCCTTCCTTCCCTCCCTCCCTCCCCCTTCTTTTCTTCACTCCCTCCCTCCTTTCCTTCCTTCCCTCCCTCCCTCCTTTCCTTCCTTCCCTCACTCCCTCCCCCCTTCCTTTCTTCCCTCCCTCCTTTCCTTCCTTCCCTCCCTCCTTCCCCCCTTCCTTTCTTCCCTCCCTCCTTTCTCCCCTCCCTCCCTCCCTCCCTTCCTTCCTTCCTTTTTTTTTCTTCCTTCTTTCTCTCTTTTTCTTTCAGTGGTTCTGGGGTTTGAGCTCAGGGCCTCGCTCAAACAGAATAACCATGCAGTTGTTCTTGTTTTTATCATTGTTGATATTATTTCCTGGAGGGTAAGCAGCTGGAGAGGAAAGACCTCCCATGTCAACAACTCTGGGCACCTTTAGTTTTAAATTTTTATTTATTTATTTATTTATTTATTCAGTGTGTGTGTGTGTGTGTGTGTGTGTGTGTGTGTGTGTGTGTGTGTGTGAGTGTGTGTGTGTGTGTGTATGTGACCACGTGTAGGTGTGTGTGTGTGATATGCTTGTGAGTATGGGCACACTTTTGACACAATGTGCCTGTGGAGATCAGAGGATAAATTTGGGGAGTCATTTCTAACCTTCACTGTGGGACCTGGGGATGGAACTCGGGTTCTTGGGCTTGCTCAGCAAGTGTTTTTACTCAGTGATCCATCTCACTGGCCTTCAGACACCTTTAAAATAACCCCCTTTCAAAGCTTTGAGATGTAATTTAAAGTTGGACAGAGTAGGCAACTTGGAAAAAAAGGCAGGGTGAGAATCAGTGTTTGGCAAGACTTTGCTAGAATGCCTGGAAACCATGGACATTGGTGGTATCATAAGTTGGAAGGCCTCTTCTGGATGCCCACTTGATAGTGGTTAGGAAGGGCCACCAAGACATATGATACTTTTAAATATTTTTTGAGGGGAATATATTAACATTTTAATGTAATTAATTTCAGGTTGGGCAAATACATACATATGTACATACATATACTCTACATTCTTATTTTTTTACTTTGCTAATTAAAGTTTTTTTAAAAATACATTACTTTATTTCTTTATTTTACATCCCAGCTGCAGTTTCCCCTCCCTCCTCTCAGTCCCTCCCCCGCAGCCCACTCTGTTCCCATCCCCAATCCACTTCTCTTCCATTTCTGTTTAGGAAAGGACAGGTCTCCCCTGACCCAGAACATGACATATCAAGTTGCAGTAAGCCTAAACATCTCCCCAAGTATTAAAGGCTCGGCAGGGTGACCCAGTATGAGGACAAATATTTTATTTTATTTTTTTGGTTTTTCGAGACAGGGTTTCTCTGTGTAGCTTTGCGCCTTTCCTGGGACTCACTTGGTAGTCCAGGCTGATGGTTGTGAACCATTATGTGGTTGTTGGGAATTAAACTCAGGTCCTTGGGAAGAGCAGACAGTGCTCTTAACCTCTGAGCCATCTCTCCAGCCCCAACTACTTTGTTTTGTTTTAAGCTATTTTTCCACTGACCACTTTTGTGGAGGGAAGATAAGACTTACTCTGCATCCAAACTTGTGATCCTCCCGCCTGAGCCTCTCCATTGCTGGGGTTTCAAGCAGTAATGCCCAAGCTCAGCTTCCACTGCTCTTTTACCTTGGTACTTTTTTTTTTGTTGTTGTTGTTGTTGTTGTTTTTCGAGACAGGGTTTCTCTGTGTAGCTTTGCGCCTTTCCTGGAACTCGCTTTGGAGACCAGGCTGGCCTCGAACTCACAGAGATCCACCTGGCTCTGCCTCCCGAGTGCTGGGATTAAAGGCGTGCGCCACCACCGCCCGGCTAAATATTTTATTTTTTAAAATACATTTATTTTGGCCGGGCGGTGGTGGCGCACGCCTTTAATCCCAGCACTCGGGAGGCAGAGCCAGGCGGATCTCTGTGAGTTCGAGGCCAGCCTGGACTACCAAATGAGTTCCAGGAAAGGCGCAAAGCTACACAGAGAAACCCTGTCTCGAAAAACCAAAAAAAAAAAAAAAAAAAAAAAAAAAAAATACATTTATTTTATTTTAAATTGTCTGTCTCTCTCTCTCTCTGTGTCTGTGAATGTGTATCTATGTGTGTATGTAGGCATGTCTGTGTCTACGTAGGTATATGCCCTTGAGTGCAGTGCTCAAGGAGGCCAGAAGAAGGCATTGATTGGATCACGTGGAACTTGACTTGCAGCACCTAATATGGGTGCTAGGAACCAAACTTGGATCCTCTGGAAGAGAAGTAAGAGCTTAATTAATCATTGGATCATTTCCCCAGCCCCTTCTGTGATTCTCTGTGATGTAGTGTGGCGGTTTGAATGAGAATGTCCCCCATAGGCTCCGTGAACACCCCAGCCCCAGCTGGTGATGCCATTTGGGGAAGTTTTAGGAGGTGTGGCCTTGTTGGAGGAAGTTTGTTATTGGAGGTAAGTTTTCAGGATCCAAAGACTCTCTCATCCAGTTGACTCTCTGCTTCATGTTTACGGTAAAAGATATTAGCCCCCAGCTTCCTGCTTCTGCTGCTGCCATGCCTCCCTGCCATGATGGATGCATCCCTTTGGAACCATAAACCCAGACAGACTCTTCTATAAGTTGTCTTGGTTGTGGTGCTTTCTCACAGCAACAGAAAAGTAACTAATACACCTAGGAAGGCATGCAAATATTCCCTGTGATATCACCTAGACACGATACAAGTGGCTTAGTGGAACAACTTAGTGTATGATGTCATGTTAGCCATTTATTATAACCCTGAAGGCTAGACCATCACAGAAAGCATCTTAAAGGGAGCCAAAGGCAGACTCCAGTCCCAGGAGCAAGGCTAGAACTAAGGTGCTTGAAGGGAACGCCTTTGTCAACTTTCTTGACCAATAGGATACAACTTCCTCAGACTATGGAAACAAGGACCTCCCCCCAAAAGCCCCTATAACTCGTCTATCAACTTGGTAAGAAAGAAAGCTTTTCCATGGAGGACCTGAGACCACCATTCTCAGTTTAGGGAACACGTTTCCTCATTGGGATCCCTTGGTAGTCCTAGCTCTTCAGTAAAGCCCTGTGCCCACCACCACCTTCGAGTGTGCAGGAGTGACTGAAAGGGACCCAGCGTGACCTACTACTGTCTTCCAACAGGCCTGCACAAGGACTTTGGGATGGGAACTAGTTTAGAAAAAATGGGGACAGAGAAGTCAGGGTGATGACTAGGAAGACACGCATTCCTTTTGTCCCCAAAATGTACTACAGGAAGGTGACTCTTGAATTGAGACGACTAATGCTTGGATTAGACATGTGTAAAACACACACACACACACACACACACACACACACACTTTCTTCTTTTGTCTCCAAAGGCTATTATTATGCATGTTCCTCAACTTATTTTGTTGTTGTTTTTTTCATGTGATTTTAAATAGTGAGTGTCTTTGCATACCACTATGCACAGATATACTGAAAGGACCAAGCAGACACTCATAACAGGCTGTTCAGTCTTCTCTCAGTTCATGGGTCAATGTGAGCATGCTAGGCCAGCCAGCCTCCATGGCCGTTCAAGGACAGAGCCTGGGACTTGTCCAGGCCTGCCCAAAAAACGATAACTGTAACCCCCAACCAGTAAATTCAAAGGTTACACACCCTCACCCAATAATATGATGCAAAGGCTTGTACCACCCTGCTTTCGGTTTTTCCTTTTAAAAATCCCTCACTCTAAGAGATCAGGGCCATCCTCCTCCACCTGCTGTGTCGGAGTGTTGGACACGGACCAAGCCTGGGCTTGCTTGTTATCAATAAACCCCTGTGTGTTTTGCATCAAATATCGGCTCTGTGGTGGTCTTGCTCGGGGGTCTCGTAACACGGGCACAACAATACCATATATACACTACATGTATAGGCATATATATAGGCATATATACGTGTGTGTTTGTGTGTATAATGTGAATGCATACGTATATACACGTTCTTTTGTGTGTGTTCATGCATGTTGAGGCCGAAAGTTGAGTTATGGCCTCTGCCCGGGAGTCCAACCCCATTCACTATCTGAGTGACACTGGGTGAGCCTTAACCCTTCAGAGGCTCTGGCTCTTAGTCTAGAAGATAAAGAGACCCATGTGCCTTGCAGAGGCTTGTGGGTTCAGAGTCATGTGAATCGATGTGTTAAAGGAGTAACATAAGGGAGGTGGGACCCCAGCTCCAGCCCCTGGGAAGGATTTAAGTCTCAGAGAGAGAGCAGGGTTTGGGGCACCAGGGAGAATAAATACCGAAATGAGAGGTATCCCTGTTTGATACCTGGCAGTTCCCCTCCTGGGCCCAGCTTTCTCATCTACATATTAAGCCCAGTTAGTTGATCTCCCAGACTTCGCTGACATTGCTGTGTGAACACCTGTGGGAAGGAACCACTCAGCTTGACCCACAGCAAAAAATTGGCACCAGATACTTAAAAAAAGCTGAAGAGGAGCTGCTGTTCACAGTGGGCTTAAAACACCCAGAAGGGAACTCTGGTCGCTTAGAATGCATGGAATTTGCTGGAAACAAAGTATATCTGGGATGTGGGAGGAACACTGTGGTTCTGCCCAGAGGGTGTGCTGGGATCTTACTTCAATAAAACAGGAAGCCTGAGAGTCTGCCAAACAGGATTTGGGGAAGGAAGGGGTGGAGAGAAGTGCTTCTCCAGCAAGCCAGCTGTGCCCCTGACAGTCCCCTTCCAGCCCAGAGCCAGGGTCTGGTCACATTCAGTCACATTTACTCCATTAGCTAAGGGGAGGGGGTGTCCTGGCTTCCAGGAGCTCAGAGTCTTCTGCAAGACAACAGATGTGTGTGTGTGTGTGTGTGTGTGTGTGTGTGTGTGTGTGTGTGTGTGTGCGTGTTAAGGTGAGTGCAAGGTCAGCATTAGGGACCGTAGATAAAGCCTCCAAACCAGTGTCGGCATGGGTGGGGACAGGGCAGCTAGCCAACAAAGCTGGGCCGTGTACTCTCACAAGCTCCCTGCAAATCCAGGCTCTGACCTCAGCCACTGTGTAGTCTGTGGCCAAGTGTCTTAGATTTTCTGAATACATTACCTCAGCTGAAGGGTAGCTCTACCTGTGTCATGTTTCTCATCTACATAACTGAATATGTACCTTCCTGGGAAGATTGACCATTGGCTAATTTTATGTCAGCTTGACACAAGCTAGCTTCGTGTTGGAAGAGGGAACTGCTGTTGAAAAAATGCACCCACCAGATTGGCCCACAGTGCATTTTCTTGATTGATGATGGATGTGAGAGGGCACAGTCTGCTATAGGTGGTACCACCCCTGGGCTGGTGGTCCTGGGAGCTATAAGAAAGCAGGCTGATCAAGCCATGGAGAGCAAGCCAGTAAGCAGCCACTCTCCATGGCATCTGAATCAGTTCCTGCCTCCAGGTTCCTGCCCTGAGTTCCTGTCCTGACTGTCTTGGATGATGGACTGTGATGTAGAAGAATAATACAAATAAATCCATTCCTCTCCAGATTTCTTTTGGTAATGGTGTTTCATCACAGCAAGAAAAACCCTAACTAAGCCAATGACCGTGGATTTACAATACTTACTTAAGTAATGTCCATGTAAAATTAAGGATCATAGACAGCTTTTCTATAACTTATTTTTATTTTATGTTCATTGGTGTTTTGCCTGCATATGTGTCTGTGTGAGGGTGTCAGAAGCCCTGGAACTGGAGTTACAGATTGTTGTGAGCTGCCATATGGGTGCTGGGAGTTGAACCTGGGACCTCTGGAAGAGCAGCCAGTGCTCCTAACTGCTGAGCCATCTTTCCAGCCCCCTATAGACAACTTTTCTATAGATCAAATTTTAGGTGTGACTCTTTTTTCTTTTTAAAAATAAATAGTTCTGGTATCGCAGGCTGGTAGGATTTGCTGAAGGAGGCAGAGACAGGAGGATCTCGAATTTGAGGCCAGACTGGGATACATATTTTTGGGAGCTGGAGAAGTGGCTCAGAGGTTAAGAGCAATGACTGCTCTTCCAGAGGTCCTGAGTTCAATTCCCAGCAACCACATGGTGGCTTACAACCATCTGTAAGGGGATCTGATGCCCTCTTCTGGTATGGGTGAAAACAAAGCACTCATATACATAAAATAAACAAATATGTAAAAAACAAACAAACAAACAAATGTGTGTGTGTGTGTGTGTGTGTGTGTGTGTGTGTGTGTGTGTGTGTGAGACTGTATCTGTGCATATGTGTCTATGCTTGCCAAAGCTTTAGAGGCCAGAAGACAGCATTGGATCCCCTGGAGCTGGAGTTACAGGCGATCGTGAGTCACCTGACATGGGTGTAGGGTACAAGAGCAGCAGGTGCTCTTAGCCACTGGGCCATCTCTTTAGCCCTTCTCTTCTTTCTTTCATTTTGAGTTGGTGTTTTGAGACAGGGTCTCATATGGCCCAGGCTGCCCTTGAACTCATCATGTACCTGGGGATGACCTTGAACTCTGTTATCCTCCTTCCTCTCAATGCTGAGATTATAGGCATGATCTGCAGTGCCTGACTTTTTATTTTATTATCAAAACCAAGGCGCGATGCCCACACCAGCCCACACCTACAGGGTCAGGATCATCAGTATCGCTGTCTTTGGCCTCTGTATCTTTTGTCCCTGCAAAGTCTAGGTCTTCAGGAAAGCAACACATGCAGCCATGGCCTCCTGTGACAACAGCACCTCCTCTGGCTCTCTCCTGAAGGCCTGCCTGAGGCTGTTCCACAGTTAACTTGGCTTTTTAAAAGTAGGAATACACTCTAAAACAACAATTAAAATTATGCACAGGCACACAAACCAGGAACAAGGTGGTTTATCATCACTATCAAGTCTCAGGGCTGACTGTCATTATGTCCTGTGCTTTTATTTTTAAAGTTGATTTTGTTTTGTGTGTGTCTGTGTACATGTGTGTACGATTTTTAGTGGAGTCTAGGGATTTGCACTCAGGTCCTCATGCTTGCAGAGTAAGGGTTACTGCCCAGGGAGACATCTCCTGGCTCCCAAAAGGCCAGCTCTCTATCTATCTATCTATCTATCTATCTATCTATCTATCTATCTGTCTGTCTGTCTGTCTGTCTGTCTATCTATCTATCTATCTATCTACCTACTTATCCACCCATCCATCCATCCATCCATCCATCCATCCATCCATCCATCCATCCATCCATCTATCTATCTTTCTTGTTTTTCAAGACAGGGTTTCTCTGTATAACAACAGTCCTGGCTGTCCTGGAACTTATTCTGTAGACCAGGCTGGCCTCGAACTCACGGAGATCTGCCTGCCACTGGGCCTTGCACTTGCTGTTCTTCACAGGAAAGGTAGCACAGCAGCTCTGTCAACATCAGCACAGTACTGTGGCATTACGGCAGTTACAGAGCCACCAGGCCATACATAGCAGCTTTCTGTGGGCACGTCAGCTGCACTGTCCATTCCAATGGGAATGCCACTGTGTACTTATCTCTCTTAGGGTGCAGAGACCACCCACTGATGCCCAGCTCCATGATGCAGGCCACTCTGCCTGCCTCCCCAGCAGGGAGAATGCTGCCTGGCACAGAATGGGCACCCAGGATGCATTTTCCTTCCTTCTTTCCTTCCTTCCTTCCTTCCTTCCTTCCTTGTAATGGAGATTGAATGCAGGCCCTTAAGTCTGCTAGGCAAGTACTCTACCACTGAGCTCCTCAGGAGGGATATTAGCTTTGGGTTGTAGAGAACAGATGTGGTGGTAGAGTTTGAACAGAAGGGAAAAGAAAGACCCCGAGCTTGGCCCACCAGGGAGAGGGACCTCCCTCTCGATGCTCGATGACCCTCTTTTCTCTTGGGACTCTTCTCCCCTCTCCTTGAACTAACTCTCTCTCTGTCCCATGCTCTATCATCTCCCTCTGAGTACGGCGGTGGGGTGGGGGTACCCCATGAAGGTCGGGGAGCTTGAGCCTTGGAAAGAAAGCTGTACTGCCCTTCCCTGCCTGCCAGCCAGCTGCCCTCCCTAGCTGCAGCAGAAGCTATAAAAAGCACAGCCCTTCAACAATAGGTGACATCACCCAGCAGGCTGGCGAAAAGAGCTGGATTCTCTGCCAGATGCCAGGCAGAGTTATGGTCCCTTCCCTCCCCCAGGATGAGGCCTCTGGGGGAGAAACTTCCTGAATCCTGCAGGGATGTAAGGGATAGACTACAAAAGACTCTCATGCCTTGGAGGAGGGGAATTGATCCCGAGGGACACAGCAATCCTGCCTGTGCTAAAGATTTCCCCGGGGTGAGGAATGGGGAGGAGCTGCTGGACTCTCCCTGTCTCCCAGTAGCATCTTTTGGATGTTTTGGGACCAGAGAACAATGGGGTCAGTGAGGGATGGGTACATACTTCCAGGGGAAAGGGCCAGACCTGCAGCAAAGGCTTCTTTCTGAGATCCTTCCAGATGCCGTTCCCAGTCCTGCTAGGGGCCACTGTGTCTGGCATACCTGTGGACCTCCCAGACCCACCTCTGCATGTATGATGCACAGTAAGTTGACCCTTCAGGCTGGAATGGGTTGGCGGAGGAAGTCCAGGAGAACTTAGAGCAGGAAGGCCTGTCAGAGACTCCTTACATTCTGGTTTCCAGGCCCAGATGGAGACGACTCTCTTGCATGGGTCACACAAAGAGGACACCAAGATGGAGTGTTCAATGCCAGCCTGTTACGGTTGTGAGCCTCAGTTTCCTCCCCTGTAGAAACAGAGCCTCGGCAAGGTAGCAAGGCAGGAGTGTGGGGGAGCTGATTAGGTTCCCCATGTAAACCTTGGTTTCAGGGTTCAGTTCTCCAGGGGAAGGGAGCTTCACCCTAGGGCCTGTGGGCTCCAAGGTCCTAAGCCCTGGACAGGTGTGGGCAGAAACCCGAGGGTTAAGGTGGAACTCAGAGCCTGGCTCCTGGAGCAGCTTAGCTCCCCCTTGATCTCAGACTTAATCACCTGTCTAGATCAGCAGCCTGGGGATGGGGGGGGGGCGGGGGGGGGGGCGCAGGGGCCTGTTCCCATTCTCTGCAGTACCCAGTTTACCTTTTCGCTCCCCTCCTTCTACCTCAGAGCTCCACACCCCAGTGTGTGTGTGTGTGTGTGTGTGTGTGTGTGTGTATGTGAGCGCACACATGTGTCTTTCTGTCTGTCTGCCTGTCCATCCTTCTCCCTGCTCATCCATGCTGTGTGCAAACCTCCACCCAGTTGGCTGGAGCTTCATGTTCTCCAAAAAAAAAAAAATGTGGCTGTGACCCCTTGAGGCTCCCCACCCCCACCCCCTGGATCCCAGAGGATGCTCAGTTGGCTTGGGAAGCTCAGGTGTCACTTCTCACCCAGCCTTATCTATCCCAACCTCCCTTTACAGCCTTCTCTCCTGCTCGCTCCCCTAGTGACATCACCCACTCCACCATGCTGGAGGACTCTCCCTTTCTTAGGCACCCTGTGCACCTCCTCCAGGCTTGGGCCTGGGCCAGGGCTCTTCCTGGGGCCACTTTAACCCTTTCTCTTCAGGTCAAAGTATAATCATACCGGCAGGAGTGAAGATACACTAAGGAAACGTGTGCCCTCCTTTTTGTTACTAGACTGTCGAGACAATGGCCCCCAGGAAATTACAGTTCCCGCAGGAATCTCACGCAGGGAGAAACAAGATGAATCCTGATGCCAGCCAGAGGCAAAGCTTGTCTCAAGGAAAGAGGTTTCGTACAGTTTCAGAAGTGGCTCGTTTGGCCACCTTGAAGAAGAGACTGGAGTCCATCATTGATGGGTCAGTGACAGACAGGGCTGTACCCCACCAGGAGTGCCTACTGGATAAATAATTTTCCAAATGAATCGCCTTTCTCTTTGCTTCCCCATTACTTTGTCTGTTGAATTGGCCTATTGAGCATGGGTGGTCCAAGCTCTGGCCCTAACAAAATAACCCGAGTCTTCCAGGTCCAGCCCTCCCAAGTCCGCTTTCCTGTATCTGGGTCATCATTAGTCCCTCTCTCTTGTCTGTGCCCACACTATTGTGGAACTTCAGTGCAGCCCTGACTCATCTGCATGTGTCTTCTCTCTAGCTGGTGGGCCCTGCCTCCTTGCGGGGGCTGTTTGCTGAGCCAGACTGAGACAGCAGGTATCTGTGAGGTGCCAGGCGCAGGGCTGGGTATGGGCTTCCTCATATGCCTTCACTGATGCTGATAAGGGCCCTGTTACTAATGGCCACTGAAATGAACAGAGCCAGGGCCCAGAGAGGTGAAGCCATATACCCTGGGCACCCTGCTAAGCAGTGGCCCTGAGGTTTTATTCCAAGGCCACCAGATCCTGTAGTCGAGATCTCTTGGGACCTCAGGAGCTCATCAGGCCCAGTCAGTGGGTACCAATCGTCTGGCTCCTGTAGCAGGGCTGAGCCCTGAGCTTATGTGACTACACACTGTGGATGTCTTGTGCATTGGCTGCATCCAGGAGGATGAAGCAGCAGTGGGTGGAAGAGGAGGCCGAGTTAGCACCAGGCAGGTCCATCTCGCCTTGATGTAGGCGAAAGAATCTGTGACTGGAGACAGGCGGTAGTCCCAGGAGCTGGGGCCTGATCTGCCCCTCTCCAGACCCAGATGACCTGACTGTTTCTCCTTCCCAGCTGGGTCTTACACTGCCCCTTTGTGTGCTACACCTTCCCTCAGCGGGGCCTGTCTTCCAGGGTGGCATGTGATGTGCCCCCCCTCACCACCACCAGAGTGCATGCAAGGGCCCTACTTCTCAGAGTGCTTCCTGCTGGCTGGGAGTCACTTCAGCAGGCAGGGACTGAGCCAGATGCAAACCCTGTCCTTCCAGGCTCTCCGGATGGGTAGCAATCTTGCCTGCCCTCCTTCCTCCTGAGCCCCGAGCCTTTCTTGATCTGACCTCTGTGTTCCCTGGACTCACCTGCTCCACCTGCCTTCTTCCCCAGGCCAGGGAGCAGCTTGTGATTTTCCCTGTCACATGTCCTGGCTCCACCACCTCCTGCCCACATGTCTGCAGCTCTACTCTTCCTGTGACCTGGCCCCTGCTAGCTGTCCCGTGTCCCCCCCCCCCCCCCCCCCCCCCCCCCCCCCCCCCCGTCACTTGGACCCCGAAGCAGCTAAAGACAGTAACAAAACCAACAGGCTTCCTTTACCGCCTTCATTCACTGTCCCCAAGGGCACTTCCTTCACAATCGCTGCCCTCAGGAATCCCAGTCAAGTCCTCTCCACTTCTCCAGTTCCCTTCACCTCTCTGTCTGATCTCATAGTCAGCTTGATGAATTCATGGAGATGCTACGGTCAGTATCTCCTTTCCCATCATATCCATTCACTCATTCATTCATTTTCTATCTATCTATCTATCTATCTATCTATCTATCTATCTATCTATCTATCTATCTATCATCCAACCATATATATGCATCCATTAAACCATTTCTCTGTCAGTCCATGCACCCAGACATCCAACCATCCATCCACGTGTGCATTCTTCCAGCCATGCATGCATCCATGCACAAGTCCTTCCACTGATGCATCTAACTGTTCATTCAGTCTGCAGTAGGTGTTTGGTTTTTTTTTAGATATGAGGTCCTGTGTTAGATGCCAGGGATGCAGAGCCACATAGGTCATACTCTCTTCCCTCTGGCGTTCATAGCCCAGCCTGGGAAGTCAGGGACACAGCTCTGAAGCTGTTTCCAGTTCTAGTACCCTGGGCTCGTGGCCTGTCCTCAGACTATGCCGGTGAACACAGGTAGCCCCAGTGGCCTGGCTGAAAAGCAGAGCCACCTTCACTTGGGAACAAAGGGACCCCCGTACCAGCTTGGCTAACACTGTGAATCCTCCTCTGTTCCACTGCCCCTCGGAGACAGCCAGACCTGACGGGGGAGTGGGTGGAAGGCTGTGTTGAGGCCAGTGGCCCTGGAGTTTTCAGCCCCTTTCTTCCTCCATCTCTGGGGACTGAACTCAGGTCCTCATGCTTGCCAGCCAGCACTTTACCAACTTGAGCGGTGTCCCCAGCTCCTCCTCCTCCTCCTCCTCCTCCTCCTCCTCCTCCTCCTCCTCCTCCTCCCTTGCTTCTACACGTCCACCTGCTCTCCGCCCACCCTGTCTCCTCCCGCTCTCTCTTCTGTTTATCTTCCCACCAGGGGTAGGATGTAGAAAGATGGAGTTCTATCCCCTTAGGATGATCCTCGTCACCACTGTCCTTGAAACCACAGCTCCAGAGGACAAACTCTGGGACATTTACCAGGTGACCCGCAAAGCTCAGGAACCCTCTCCCCTTGCCTCACCCCTTCCTTCCTTCTCCTCTGCATCTTCCTCTCCCTCCTGCCCTGCATCACAGAGCACAGGCAGAGGCTGAATCACACCGAATTTTTTTATTCTAATTCTCACCTACACTTCCACCCTCAGTCAGTCACTGAAGCACGGGTATGCCCAACAAAGATCCTCTCCTCGGTCCCTCCCTGACCCTTGTCCTCTCTATCTTGGGACTGGCTGGAGGAGGGAGAGGTTGGGGACAGGGCTGAGAGAAGAAAGAGGGCAGTGTGTGGACAGAGGCTCTCTGGGGGAAGAAGGGAGGTGTGAGCTCAGGGTCGTTCCTGGGGACCATCCACTGCTCAGCTCACCGAAGTGTCCTCGGAGCACGAGGCGATGATGTTGTCAATGAAGGGGTTCCATTTGATGTCCAGCACATTGCCTTGATGACCGCATACCTTGGGGTAGTTTGGCTCGATTCTGCCTGTCTGCAAGGGAGAGACAATGCATTAGTTTGGTGACCCCACTCAGAGTGGCTAAGAAAGGAAAGATCTTTGCCTGGGCTCCTCTGCTGAGGTGGGCCTCCTCTGCTGAGGTGGGCCTCCTCTGCTGAGGTGGGGCTCCTTCACTGGGGTGGGCTCCTCAGGCCCTTCACTTATTTTCTGTGTCCTGATGGAAACTTATAGGTTGTTTGGACTTTTGTGACCCAGTCAGCTGCTGGTTTTTCTCAGCAGGCTGGAGCCACAGCCAGGACCTTGAACATTCCTAGGCTCTGATAAAGGTGTCAAGGCTATTACCCAAAAAGGGGGCTAAGAAACCCTGCCTCCTCCGTTCCTGAGCCCAAATTCCTTAAACCCTCACACAGGCTCCACCCAGCCCCTTCACTCGGGGAGGGGACACTTCAAGGCCAGTTACAGCCCTCAGTGAGTCAACAGCAACGCTTGAACCTTGTCACTTGCAGTGGCTCTTTCCTCAGAATCCCAGGTGTCTGGGGGACACTTTGGGAATCTTCTCTTGTGAGAATTGGCTACTTTTTGTAGTATGTGTGTGTGTGTGTGTGTGTGTGTGTGTGTGTGTGTGTGTAGGCTGGAGGTCAGGGGTCAACGTCTGGTGTTCCTCACGCCATCACCTTATTTTTAGAGACAGGGTCTCTCACTGTGACATGGAGCTCACCAATGAACTGGATTGGCAGGCCAACCAGCTCCAGGGGTCCCGTGAGATCTTTGTCCCAGTCACTGGGGTTGTAAGCATGTGCTACTGTGCCCCCATCTTTTATGTGGATTCTGGGGGTTAAACTCTGGTTCTCAGGCTTGCACAGGAGACACTTTGTACTAAGTTGAATCATCTCAATTGCCCCATTAATGCCATCTTTTGTTTGTGGTGGTATTGTGTTCCCCAAAATATTGTGCACCCTAATAAACTTATCTGGGGTCAGAGAACAGAATAGCCACTAGGTACAGAGGCTAGAAAATGGTGGCACTCATGCCTTTAATCCTAGCATTCCAGAGGCAGAAATCCGTCTGGATCTCTGTGACTTCAAGGCCACATTGGAAACAGCCAGGCATGGTGACTCACGCCTTTAATCCCAGGAAGTGAGCCTTTAATCCCAGGGAGTGATGGCAGAAAGCAGAAAGGTATATAAGGCGTGAAGACCAGAAACTAGAAGCTTTTAGCCTGGTTAAGTTTTCAGGCTTTGAGCAGCACAGTTCAGCTGAGATTCATTCTGGATGAGGACTGAGAGGCTTCCAGTCTGAGGAAACAGGATCAGCTGAGGAACTGGCGAGGTGAGGTGGCTGTGGCTTGTTCTGCTTCTCTGATCTTCCAGCATTCACCCCAATACCTGGCTCCAGGTTTGTTTTTATTAATAAGAACTTTAAAGATTCCTGCTACATTTGTTTTAGCTTATTTTTGTTTTATATGTATGTCTGTGTACCGCACATGAGTCCTCAGAGGCCAGAAGAGTATAGCTTTAGAGACAGTTGCGAACCACCATATCGGTTCTGGGCTTCAAACCTGAGTCCTTTGGAAGAGCAACCAATGTTCTTTTTTTTTTTTTTTGGTTTTTCGAGACAGGGTTTCTCTGTGTAGCTTTGTGCCTTTCCTGGATCTCGCTCTGTAGACCAGCCTGGCCTTGAACTCACGAAGATCCGCCTGCCTCTGCCTCCCAAGTGCTGGGATTAAAGGCGTGTGCCACCACCGCCCGGCGCAACCAATGTTCTTAACCACTGAGCCACCTCTTCAACAACATTTTGTTTTATTGAAGCAAGTTCTCACTCTTAATGTGATAGAACTCACTCTGTAGCCCCAGCTGGCCTAGAATTCCTGGCGCTCCTTCTAACTGCCTTCCAGGGGCTGGGATTACAGGCATGCACGACCATATCCGGTTTATTTGGTACTAGGTGGGAGTGGGATCCAGTGCTTTGTGCAACCCAGGCAAACACGCTACCAACCAATCTACACACACCTCCAGCCTTAGACTATAATTTTTTTTAACAAGATGTAAGCTGAGACTGAGCCATATATGACCCAGGATCTACTAAGGTGTTATCATGAACTCTCTCAACAAACCTGTGAATTAGACGTGAGGAAAGGAAGACCAGAAAGGTGAATTAGCGTCCCCAAATCAAACAGCAGAAATCCAGGCTGGGATTTCCAAACAGTGTGATTCCTCAGGACAAGCCCTTTGAACCTTCTCGCTCTTAGTCAGTGCCCCTCCCCCAGTGCCCCTCAGCTTGGCAGCGGGATCCTGCCAGTGCCCTCGCTCTCTCCCAAAGCCACTGCTTCTGGCTCATCTCAAAGCTGCACTTGAGTGTTTGCTGAGCAAAGCTGTCTGCATCAAGCTTCTGGCACCCAGCCCAGCCCAGGCCACTCTGAGAGGCACCAAGGCTGTCAATAGCCAGCCATCAGGAATACTGATCTAGGAGCCCACGGGAATACACTGGCACTGGAGGGAGAGGTCTGCCACATTCCTGAACCCTGTGCAGAGTGAGAAGAGACAGACAGGAGCCATGCTCTGGGAATGTGTGTGTGTGTGTGTGTGTGTGTGTGTGTGTGTGTGTGTGTGTGTGTGTGTGTGTGGTGTTTGGGTGTGCATCCCACAGCAGGCTTGTGGAGGTCAGAGGACATGAATTCTGGGACTAGACCTCAGGTCATCAGGCTTGTGCTGTGTACAAGCATCTTTACCTGCTGAGACATTTTCCTGTTTTTTAAGACTTGGTTTGTTTTAAAGACAAAATCTCCTGTAACCCAGACTGGCTTTGAACTCGATACCCATTGTTAACTTTGAACTTCAGTTCCTCATGCTTCCAGCTCCTGAGTGCTAGGATTGCAGGCATGTACCACCACTGCAGGCATGCATCACTCTCGGGTTTATACTGGGCTGGAGATGGAGCCTAGGGCTTTGTGCCAGGGTTAGGCAAACAGCCGACCAACTGAGCTACATCCCCGGCCCCGAAAAGACTCTTAGTAGGACACAGTTGGGCAGATGTAATAGATGCAAAGAGCCTCATGAACACAATGAAACAGTTAAGCTGTGATGAATTTTTAATACTCTGTGCCTCGGCTTTTATTATAATTTATTTAATTGTAATTCAATGTAATTTAATTTTTAATAAAGGCCATACTTAACAATCGGCTTTAAAAAATTCCTAGAAACTTAGCTGTAGGCTCTCGTAAGACAGCACACACTGATACAACACAACACTCCTAGTACTGCTAGGACTTCTACACATTTGCTACACTGACATAACGATGAAATAACAAGTCAGACACTCTAAAATTTTATATATATATGTACATATATATGTAAATCAGCAACAGGAGGATCTGAGTTTGAGGCTAGACTGGGCTACATCGACAGAGTGCCTCATAAATAAATAAATGAATACACAAACAAATAAATAAATAGCTAATCCATTTCCCACAGGGGCTGTGAATAAAGTAGACCCCTCATCTGTCTGTCTCCAAGCCTGGCTGCAAGCTGTTGACTTCTTCTTCCAATACTTAATGCTAGCCCCACTAGTACTCACTCTGACACCAGTGTGGACAGATACTACTAATATATATTAGTATAATCAAATCTGGGGCTGGAGAGATGGCTTAGCTGGTACAGTGTTTTCAGACCTGAGGACCTGAGCTTGGATCTGTGGCACCTGTAAAAAGCCAGGCACAATGGTGTTCATCTACAACCTTGGAAGTACAGAGACAGGCAGATCCCTGGGATTTGATGGACAGCTGGTCTACCTGAATTGGCAAACTCCAGGTTCAGTGAGAGAGCTCCTCTCAAAAACTCAAGGTGTAGAATGGCTGAGGAAGACACTCCATACCAACCTCTGGCCTCTACATACACACACACACACACACACACACACACACACACACACACACACACTCAAAGGAGAGAGTGGATCCTTTCACCTGCCAGTCTTCAAAGCCGCTCTGGCTGCCATCCAGTGCCACCTTCTCATACTTAATACGAGCTCCCCACCAATATTGATGCTGACTCTAACACAGACTGCTATTATTAATATAGCTTATCAAATATGATCAGATTTAAACCTCAGGACAGTTCGATTTTACAGCCAAGAAAACAAGTTTGGATTGCTTGCTTGTGAGTGTGCCCAGGGTTTTCCAGTGTGACACATCAGAATGACTTGCAGGCTTGTATTTCCTGTGGCCTGTGGGCTGCAAGTATCCCAGAAGAGCCATGAAGGCATCCCAACCTATTTGTAGATACAATGTTATATTGTAGTGTCAAAAGGTTGGACAGCCTTGATAGACGATCGGCGCGCAGAACTGCCCCCATAGTAGGTTCCTTGGGGGCTGGAGTGTAAGATGCCATCTGGTCCCCGAGCCTCTGAGGGCTTTAGCTTCCACAGAGCCAGACAGGGACTTAGTGTAGGATGGATGGGAGGGGATCATGGGGAGGGAAGAGTACAGACCAGGATTAGGTTGCATGGGAATCCATTCCACCTGTCGATATTCCAAGCTTGGGGAGTGGCTTTCCTGGAGACCCACTGGGCAAGATCATTTTAATACTTTTATTGCATTAATTTTTTTTTAAAAAAGTACTTTACTTAGTGTGTGAAGAAGGGCACACATGTGCATACATGTACAGGTATGTGAGTAAGCATGCCCTGGTGTCCATGTGGAGGTCATGGGAAAACTTTCAAGAGTCAGTTCTCTCCTTCCATCCCGTGGGTCCTGGGGACAAACTCAGGTCGCCAGGCTTGATGGCAAGAGCCTTTACCCACTGAACCGACCATCTCACTGGTTCTGTGTTTTATTTTATTTTTTTATTTTTTTAATTTTTTTTTGGTTTTTCGAGACAGGGTTTCTCTGTGTAGCTTTGCGCCTTTCCTGGGACTCACTTGGTAGCCCAGGCTGGCCTCGAACTCACAGAGATCCACCTGGCTCTGCCTCCCGAGTGCTGGGATTAAAGGCGTGCGCCACCACCGCCCGGCCTCTGTGTTTTATTTTTAAGACGGCA